GAGTGAGGCATTTCCCTGATTGCTAAAGATAATGAACATTTTTTTCAGGTATTTAGTGTCCATTTGTACTTCTTTTTTTTTTTAATTTTTTTTCCATTTGTACTTCTTGTGAGAAGTGATTGTTAAATTCATTTGACCATTTCCCAATTAGATTATTTATTTGGTTGTTTAATTTTTTGATTTCTTTATAAATTCTAAATATTAATCCCATCAGATGAATATCTGGCAAAGATATTTCTCCTATTTTGTAGGTTGTTTCTTCACTCTAGTTTTTTAACTTCAAGTAACTCAATTTGGGGTATGGGGGGTGGTGTGTGTGTGTGTGTGACTATGTCTGTGTCTGTCTATCTGTCTTTCTGAATACTTGGGCTTGAACTCAGAGATCATGACCTCATTCAGATTTTAAGGTTGGTCAGAGTTATTGTTTTTCATTTTTTTCTGCTCTTTCCCTGGAGTCATATCTCCAGTTCTGACTTCTTGTGGTTAATTGCAGATAAGAGGCTCAAGAATTTGTCTGCCAAAACTGGCTTTGAAGCTTGATTCTTAGCGTTCAGTCTCTTAAGTTGCTAGGATTATAACCTTGAGCTACCATTTATTAATTTGTTAATTTTTGGTATTATCTTCTGTGCTCCTTGAGTCCTATTCAGGGAATCATTGCCTTAACCTGTATTTTGAAGAGTTTCTCGTATGTTTTCCTAGAGAAATTTCGAAATTTGTCTTACATTAAGTTCTTTAATACACTTTGAGCTGCTTTTGATACAGGATAAAGAAAGAATCTAGTCTATGTTCTATTTGTGGATATCCAGTTTATTGAATAAGCTGTCTTTTTTCAAATATATGTTTTTGGCACCATCATCAAGAATCAGACAAACTATAGCTGTGTGGGTTTATTTTGGGGTCCTCTATCTTTTTCAGTTGGTTTATGTGTCTATTTTTTATGCCAGTCTCATAATGTTTTTGTTAGTACAGCTCTGTAGTTATCTTCAGAGTTGCTCTTTTTGTTTGGGATTCTTTCAGCTATTTGTATTTTGATATGAATTTAGGGATTAACTATTCTAGTTAATTTTATGAAGAATATTACTGGAATTTTGATGGAGCTTATATTTAATTTGTTGACTACCTTTGGCACATAATTCTGCTGATCCACGAACATAGGAAGTCTTTCCATCTTTCAGTTTTCTTCAATTTCTTTCTTCAATGCTGTTCAGTGTAGAAGTCTTTTGCCTCTTTGGTTATGCATATTCATTGTTAGTTTTTTAGGCCATTGTTTTCCTAATTTAATTCTAAGCATGTCTTTTATTGGAGCATAGAAATTTTGAAGGTTAATTTTGCCTCCTGCTGTCTTGATGAAAGTGTGTACCTGAACTAAGAATGGTTTGGTAGAGTTTTTAGGGTCTTTTAAGAATATATGTTCATATCATCTAAAAATAGGGATAGGGATTGATTTTTTTTTCCTTTCCTATTTATTTCTTTCCTCTCGCTCTGGCCAAGAATTCAAGCACTTTATTGAAAAAAAGTGGGGAGACTAGACACTCATGTCTTATTAGTGCCTTCATTCAGAGGAAATACTTTCAGTGTGCCCCATTTAGGTAATGCTGGCTATAGGAGTGTCAAACATATCCTTTATTATGTTAAGGTATCATCATTCTACTCCTAGCTGCTTCAGGGCTGTTATCATCAAGGGATACAAAATTCTGTCAAAGGCCTTTTTCTGCACCTATTCAGATGATCATGTAATTTTTGTCCTTTAATCTGCTTATGTGCTATATTACAGTTACTAATTTTATTCTTAGATCTCTGGAATGAAAACAACTTGATCATGGCACATGATCATTTTGTTATGTTATTGTATTTTGTTGTTTGAATTTTATTAATTATTTCTACACAGTTTCCATATCAGGATCATACTAGCTTCATAGAATGAGTGTGGATGCATTCCTTCTTTTTTAATTTTATGTAATAGTTTGAAAAGCATCTGTGTTGGTACTTACAAGTTCTGGTATAATTTAGAGGAGAATCCATTCAGAGCTTGGCTTTTATTTCCTGAGAGATGTGTATGTGTGCTTGTGTGTACCAAGTCAGGGACCTGAACTCAAGGCCTGGGTGCTGTCCCTGAACTTTTTATGCTCAAGGCTAGCACTCTACCACTCAAGCCATAACTTCAATTCTCGCTTTGTTTTTCACTTCTCGCTTTGAAGAATCTCACAGACTTTCCAGCCTAAGCTGGCTTCATACTATGATCCTCAGATCTCAGCGTACCGATTCATTAAGATTGCAGGCATAAGTCCAGGGTTTTGTTGGGAGTTTTTACTGCTGCGCCAATCTCGTTGCTTGTCTTTTATCTACTTAGGTTTTCTGTCTACTCTTAGTTCAATTTTGGTAGGTCATATATGTCTAAAAATGTGTTCATTTTCCCAGCTTTCTAATTTATTTGAATGTGTTTAGAATGTTCCCTAATTACCCTCTGTATTTCAATATCTTCTGTAACTTCCCCTTTTCGCCTCTCATTTTATTAATTTTCATCTTCTATTTTGGTTAGTTTGACTCCTTTTTAAACTTTCATTGATCTTTGGTATTATTCTTTTAGTCTTTTTTCATTTATTAGAGTTCTGATTTTTCTTACTTCTTTCCTTCTACTGATTTTGGAGTTATCTTATTCCTTCTTTAAGACCCTGGCTATGGAAGACATATGGAGGACTATAAATCTGTCACTACATCTTTTGATTGTTTAATGAAGTATCTTAAAATCTGGCCCCTCTTCTCCATGTCATTCAGATCCTCACAATTTCCTCTTCCACATCAACTAATTTCATTGACTTCTAAAACACAATTTCTCTGTTTAGATATGCTGGAGGTTCCTTACTACTACCTTCACGATCAAGTAAAAATGTCATAAAATCAGACATAAGGTTTGGTGTTTGCCCTTGCAACCCAAGGCTCCAGGCATCTCTAAGAACCTGCAGCTCTCTGAATATAACATTTGCTTTCTCATGATGCTGCTTTGCATACTCTTTAGGTTGATAGTAATATACTAACTTTAATCTTGCTCTCCTAGGTATCCTTCAGACCTTGGCTAGAATGTCACTTCCCTTAGGAAATGTCTCCAAACCCTTAAATCTGGGCAATGAATCCCTCTTTGTGTCACCATCACACTTACAGAAAGCTCCACTAACAACCTACCTGCACTGCTCTGGAGTTATCCGGTTACTATTCTGTGAGATCTGTGGAGGTAGGAATTAAGTGTTTCATTTTATTTCTCTATACTACACTTAATGTAAGTGCCTACTAGAAAAAAAAATAAAGGTATTAATTTAAAGGAAAACCATGATGTAAAATATGAAGGCAGAATCTTTAAACAGATTAATAAAGACAATAGCTAAATGAAGAAAATTAACCTAATTATCCTTTAAAAAATAAAAAACACTGCCTTTATTACATGGCCAATTTTAGGATTTATTGAGCTAGTCATACAAACTTACATGCAACATAGTCATTAAATACAAAATATTCAATAAAAAGCAGCAATTAAAAATTAAAAATGGAAACAAAGCTGTGGCCTAAGTTGTAGAGCACTATCCCTGAGCACAAAACCTCAGGGAAAGCACCATGGCCCTGAGTTCAAGCCCCAGGACCAGCACAATTAACTAACTAAATACAAAAATTAAAAATCAAAGACTAAATATATCATTCTATTTATACAGCCTTATTTTCCATACATTTTTCTCTAATACTACTCATCAGAACCTTTCTTCAACCTTTCACATGAATTTTCATTGCAATTCAATGTTGTATTCTTTCCTTAATTCCTCAAGTAATTTTCACTTTTCTCTATTTTTACTTTCTCTACTTTCAGTCTAACAGAAAAATACAAATACTTAATCTTCTCTGTCAGCAATTTAGTCTAAAATAAAGGAACTATAAAAAGTAGTGAATATAATAATATAACAAGTCAGACTGATGGACGAAACTTTGCACATTAATCTGATTGGGCGATTTCATAATACTAAGCAGCTAATCTGAACCATATGTACATGAAGTGGAGTCTGACAGGCATCAGAAAGTCCTTGGATTGTGGCAGCAGGTCAGTGAGGGTAACAGGGGAAAAAAAAAAAAAACTAGCCAACATTGGGGTGGTGAGGCCAGCCAAGTCGCAGCCTTATTATATTCTCCAGTTGTATCCTGTCTTTTCAGTAACGAAGCTGAGACAGGGAAAAGTAAGAAGCCATCAATATGAACTGGTGCTGCAGGTAAAAGCTTTGACAAGAGCAAGCAGTGGCCAACAACTGCCACCAGGTGCTGGTCCACTGGCTCAGGCACTCTTAAGGACACAAAATAAACACTGCTATTCCCTGGGGACTTTTACATACACAACAGGTTCTGAGGGAGGCAGACGTACTTGGAGAGGAATTATATAAGGATTTACACTAGGTTGGGAGGGAGAAATTGTTTTTTGGAAGACAACAATTGCTGGAAAGAAATGGAGTACATTCTTTTAATTATCTAAATGTAGCTTTTCAAAACCACTCAACACTAGGTCTTGCCTTGGGAAGTTCATCCGAAGGATAATATTTTTTGGAATTCATAATCAAGAAAAGTTGAACTCAAGTAACTTTTGCATCCAGCAAAATATTTGAAGGGTATGCTTTAGAAAAACTTTCTCAAGGGGTTGGGAAGGTTGCTCAGTGGTGTAGTGCTTGCCTCACACACATGAAGCCCTGAGTTTGATTCCTCAGCACCACATAAACAGAAAAAGCTAGAAATGGCACTGTGGCTCAAGTGTAGAGTGCTTAGCCTTGAGCTAAAGAGCTAAGGGACAGTATCCAGGCCCAGAGTTCAGGCCCCACGACAGAAAGAAAAGAAAAGAAAGACTTTCAAAACATAATGGAATTGGACCAAAAGGGAAAAAAGTAAAAGAAAAAAAAAGAAGAGAAAAAGTAAAAGGCACTACCTTTAAATAATCAATTTGTTTCAAAGCAGTGTTAAGCAAGATTTGCTCTTACCCGTATCCAGAAGTTAAGTTCAGATTCTCTAGAATTCTGTGGCTCTTTTTTAATCAGACAACATAAGCACCATATTAGATATTTTTGACTTTCATCTGTAAAGGAAAAAATGACTAGGTTTTATCAAAAAGAAGAAAAAAGATAATCTACATAAAAACATTATGCTTGGGAAAATCTCAAAATCCTAGATTTACAAAACAAGTATACAGGACTATGTGTGGTTTTTTTTTTTCTTGTGGGTTCAGGATCACTTACATTTAAACTCTTGTGTGGTCAAATTCCATTTTTATAACAGCAGCAGTTTTTAAAGACAAACAAGAATGATGGGAAGATGGGAGAGAGTGGGGAGGAGGGAAGAGAACCTGGGCTTTTCTCAAAATCAGCTTTTTTCTCATTTCAAACCATTAGTAACTTCAGCCTTTTAAAAGCAACACAACTACTATGGGTAGACACAACAGTAGTCAGTATTTCCAGTTTAATCCTTTAATTTATTAAGTTGCCAAAATACCATGGCTATTAAAAACAGTTAATAAAACAAACAATTGTTTTCACATGTACTCTGCTGAGTAGCAAATGATTTGCATAAAACAGAAACTTGCCAGGCATCACTGGCTCATGCCTGTAATCCTACCTACTCAGAAGGCTGAGATCTGAGGATCATGGTTCAAAGCCAGCTGGAGCAGGAAAGTCTGTGAGACTCTTATCTCCAATTAATAACAGAAAAAAGCTCAAAGAGACATTGTGGCTCAAGTAATAGAATAGTACCCTTGAGCAAAAAGGAGCCCAGAGACAGTGTCCAAGCCAAGTTTGAGCTCCAGGACCCCCTAAGTAATAAATAAATAAATATAAACGTATTACATGCTCCCAATTTTTTATCCTAAAATTTAAAACTTTACTACCAAATACATGATGAAAATGCCAGGCTGTGAAATCTTACATTTGGCAGAAATAGCTACTTGATGGACCACTTCATTTTTCTGTCTGCTATGACTTAGTCCATTCTTGGTGATTTTATAATTGGATTAAGAATTTTAAAAAGAGGGAGGAAGGGAGGTAGTTATAGAATTTAAAGCAATCCAAAATTTTGGTGGGTGGGTTCCTCAGGAGTTGATTCTGCACAGCTAGTGAAGGTAGTATGTGCATGTTTTTCTTAAAAGAGAATCCAGGCTGGCCAGGAGTCTATCCAACCTACAAAAACTGCATTTCTTTGCCCAGAACAAAATTAATGGATTACAATGCACTGAAATTAAGCCGTCTAGTAGCTCACCTGTAATCCTAGCACTCAGGAGGATCATGAACTAAAGCTAGCCAGGATCATATACCAAACTTCAGGTGAACATGAGTTATAAGTGAGATTCTGTTGTAAAATGAAAATGTAGTGCATAAATTTTAAAAAGGAAATGTACCAAAAGATACTTCTGATGAGCTTGCTTTATTCTGGCAGTTCATAGACAAGGTACTGCTAGTTATTCACGAGTGTTAACACAGGGTATGGCATCTGGCAGACTCCTCCCTAAAAGCTCTGAGATGAAAACTAGAGCATCTATCCCACAAGGTACAGGGCACTCAAGTGAGATCAGAAACTGACTTGCTCCATTCTGGGGTCAGCCATGACAGCAGACCTTAATGAAAATCTGGATTTTAAAAAAAGGAGTGGAAGGGAAAGGAATATGCACGCATCTTCTATCTAATAGGTTATGCATCTTGAACTGAAGTTCCAAATGACAGCCATATTCCTTACGTTTTAAGGTTTAGTTTTAAGCTTTAAGTTTTAAGCTTTAAGTTTTTAGTATTTTTTTAGACAATAAATGTTTTTTTAAGCTGTAAAGTTTTTTTGGAGGGGTAGGAGGTAGATTATTACATACAGTAGATCATGAATAGTGAGGTTATGATGGTGGAGATTGAAGGTAGAATTAGAACTAAGCACTCCAAATTAAGAAGGTGAAGGTACAAAGAGTGAGACCAAAGGAAGATATTCTGAGAAGATCACAAAGGGGAAATAGCTATGTGTATCTGATCATATAAAATAATATTATATATGAAACCATGAACTCAACTCCAAGAAATAGCAATAAAGTGTTTTTTCCCTTTGTTATTGTTTTCTTGTTTTTTTTTGGGGGGGGGGTCTGGTCATGGGGCCTGAACTCTGGGCCTGGGCACTGTCCCTCAGCTATTCAGCTCAAGGCTAGCACTCTACCACTTGAGCCACAGCACCACTTCCAGCTTTTTTTTTCTGCTTATGTGGTGCTGAGGAATCGAACCCAGGGCCTCAAGCATGCAAGGCAAGTGCTCTACCACTGAGCCACCTTCCCAGCCCTTTTTTTTCTTTTTTCTTTTGTCTTGTTTATCTGTCTTTGGGAGGGAAAAAACGGCACAGAAATGGTAGGACAAAGTGTGAACAAATGCAGCACTGGAACTCATTAAACAGTATATTGAAAGTAAACTATACAATTTGTAGGTGGAGCTAAGGGAAAAACTGGGAGAGAGCTAGGGAAGGGGCAACATTACTCAAAAAGAAATGTACTCTTTATCTGACTTAAGTTGTAACCCCTCTGTACACCACCTTTATAACAACAATAAATAAATTAAAAATAAAAAGGTAGACAATGATGACTCATGCCTGTAATCCTAGCTACTCAGGAGGTTGAGATCTGAGGACTGCAATTCAAAGCCAGCCTGGACAGGAAAAGTCTGTGATACTTTTTTTGTTGTCATGGGGCTTGAATTCAGGACCTGGGGTCTGTTCTTGAGCTTCTTTGTATTCAATTACAGCTATAGCGCCACTTCCAGTTTTTGAGTGGTTAATTGGAGATAAAAGCAGCTGGCTTCAAACTGTGATCCTCAGATCTCAGCCTCCTGAATAGCTAGTATTACAAGTGTGAGCCACTAACTAGCACCCAGCTCCATGAAACTCTTTATCTCCAATTAACCACCAGAAAACCAAAAGGGCTCTGTGGCTCAAGATGGTAGAGCACTAGCCTTGAGCCAAAAAGCTCAGGGACAGTGCCCAGGCCCTGTGTTCAAACCCCAATGACAGATTAAAAAAGAAATTATAAAGAAGATAAAGGTAACATTTGCTTATAGAGGATAACACAGAATAAAAAGATACTCTGCTTTCCATTATTAGCAATCTTTTTCTCTTTTTTTTTGGGGGGGGGGTCCAGTTGTGGGGCCTGAATTCTGGGCATGGGCACTGGCCCTCAGCTCTTCAGCTCAAGGCTAGCACTCTACCACTTGAGTCACAGCACCACTTCTGGCTTTTTTTCTTTTAGCTTATGTGTTGCTGGGGAATTGAACCCAGGGCCTCATGCATGCAAGGCAAGCACTCTACCACTGAGCCACCTTCCCAGCCCCTCTCTTTTTTTTTTATAGGGGACAATATAGAGATTTGAACTCTTCACATTTGCAAAGGAGACTGTATGAATGCATAAACATGCACACACACATGTTCCTAAAATTTATTTCTGGAAAGATGTTTGAGCAACACTGGCCTAGCTGCAATTTATATACTTAGGGCAACTAAGTGGCCCTGGTGACACAGTGTTATACTGTTACACACAGTGCTAACTTACTAGTTATGGTATTTAGATCAAGAGAATCTGATGGGGACATGGAAGAGACTTTAGTGGAAAGAAGCAGGGACAGAAAGGAAAGAAGTAGCGCAAGTATGGTTGAGTATGCAGCATACACACATGAGTGCACAGAGAAAAGTACTGTCCTTCTCCTACCTCCTTTTAAACCAGGGTTTCATGCTTGCTAAGCTGGTATTCTACCACTTCAGCCAAACCTGCAGCCCAGCTTTCTACTGGTTATTTTGGAGATTGGGTACAGTGAACTTTTTCAGTTCAGGCTGATTTCAAACTACAATCCTCTAGATTTCAACCTCCTGGATTAAGATTACAGGCATAAACCACCATGTCCAACTAGTTTGTGGCTCTTATAATGAGTTATCATAGGCTAGGAATGGGAAACTGTACAGTTCCTTAAAATATCAATTGGAAAACTAGGTACTGGTGGTTCACACGTGTAATCTAGCTACTCAGAAGGCTGAGATCTGAGGATTGCTGGTTAAAGTCAGCCTGGGCAGGAACTCTTATCTCCAACTAACCACCAAAAAGCTGGAAATGGAGCTGTGGCTCAAGTGAGAGAGCCCTAGCTTTAGGCAAAAAAAAAACCCTCAGGGATTCTCTCTCTCTCTGTCTCTCTCTCTCTCTGTCTCTCTCTTTCTCAAAAAATCAATGGGAAATAGCCATTTATTTCTGGTCCTAATGTCATAATATTATGCTATTAGACTTTCGATTTTTATTTTTTTAATTTATTGTAAAGGTGATGAAGGGGGGGTGTTATAGTTACATAAGTAAGTAATGAGTACATTTCTTTTTTTTTTAATTTGAGTACATTTCTTTTTAAACATTGTTACCCTTCACTCATTTTCTCCTACTTACCACTTCCTACTCCCCTTCCCAACATAGTATCTAGTGAGTATCTTTGTTGCAGTAGTTCATCCTTTGTCCTACTATCTCTGTGATTCCCTTTCACTTCCAAGGATCAGATAAGCTTATATATAAGACAAAGGGTACCGAAAGCTAAAACAGAAAGAAAAAATAGAAATAACTGCATACAGGACATAATAAAAAACCTCTTGTTAAGCATAGATTAAATTAGCTAGTAATCTGGTCAATACAAAACAAAATACCTCAGCCATGCTCCTTCAGAGGCACTTGCTACCCCTGTGCTGGGCTCTAGGATAACAAAGAGAACTAAACGCACAGTTCCTGCTCTCTGAAGGTATTTAGTGCTTTAGGGCTTCATACAATGGAATAAGTATTATAATAAAGGCAGAATCGAAGAGCACTCCCTAACTTAGCCACTGAAAACTTTTTCAAAAAAGACCTAAAAGGACAAAGGCCAAAGAGAGGAAAGGGAAATCAACTCCAGAAATGGCAGACCTCCAGCCTCTGCTAGTAATTGACCTGTACAATGAAGATGAGTAGGTTACGCAGGAGGTCCATGAAGGAATACCTCTTCTAAAGTGTCAACAAAAGCTCTCAACAAAACCTGAATGTCACTACCAAATAATGGCAAACCCACAGCAGAAGAATGATTTTCCAACAAAAGGGAACAATATGATAATGTGAAACTGAAACAAAGAAATTAACTTGGCATCATTAGTATGACCATTTTATTCTGAGTTTAAAATGAGGTAATGGAAGTAATTACAAATAACATTTAGTGTTTAAGTGATCTGAAACTGAGCCTGTAAACCTAATTATTTAGGAGGCAGAGATCAGAAGGATTAGCATTCAAGGCCAGCGCAGGCAAAAAAAGTTCATGAGACCCCCCCCACCTCAACTATAAAAAGCTGGGTACAATGGAGCATTCCAGCTATGTAGGAAAGGTAAATAGTAAGATTACAATCTCAGACAGCCTGGCATAAAATGGAAACCCTATCTGAAAAACCTATAAAGCAGAAAGGGCAGGGGACATGGTTCAAGCAGTAGAGTACTGCTTTGTAAGTGCAAAGTCCTGAATTCAAAACCTCAGTACCATAAAAAATATAGATAGATAGATAGATAGATAGATAGATAGATAGATAGATAGATAGATAGATAGATAGATAGACAGACAGACAGACAGACAGACAGACAGACAGACAGATGAGTTTCATCACTCTAATACAGAGAGTACTATTTTCCTATAAATCTGCACTGGGTATGTGGGTTTTACCTATATAAACATACAGACCCACAGATAACAATAAATGATACTACCTCTGCAGTAGAACAATGACCTTTGATGAGTTGTCTCATGAAAAACAGGAGAGAAGCTTACAATTTAAGCCTTTGTATTTTGTTAACCAATGCAAAGATTAAAACTTTATAAAAGTTTATATTTTGAGAGGACGTATCTTAGATTCTTACCATATGCTAAGATAAAAGGATTCCGGCAAGTTTTGGATAACAGATGACCAATTTGGGGGTATCTTTCCATGATTATATTAAAATCCTGTAAAGGAAAATTTCATTTTTGTTAGAACAGAGCATTATGCAACTCAGAAGACCGAACTGATGCTATAATTTGAGGAAGCTCCAATATCCTTTGTTTAAGTTTACTGTAGAAAGTTTACAAAAAAGGATGAGATCATTAGGTAAGACATTCAAATAAAATTTAACAAGCAACCAACTGTCATCCTGAATTTCATCCTTAAATCAGGTCACCAGAACTAAGAAATATGATTAGGTAAAATAAAATTTTGTTATACAATTGATTTTTACTTTACTCATAATTAATAGTCAGGAAAAGGCTACTTCATTTAAAAATTATAGACTCCATAAGAGTATAAAATATAAATGGAAATTCATAAGTGTATGATCTAATATTTTCATCTTAGCTTTTTACTTTGACATAATAAGAAAGGTTCCTAACTTAGCTCCAGTAAGTCTATTTCAAAGAAGGTTTAAAAGGATAAGAACTCCGGAACTTGTAAAAAGAAATAGAAGCAGCCAAAGCATAAAGATATATATCTGTTTATTACTATTTTGATTGCTATATGCTCAATGACATCATACTTAATTACAACAATCTAAACCCTGGAGAGAGAAAAATCAACCAAATAGAAAACAGCTTAAGATTTAAAAATACACATGCTATTACACAATTGGCTCCTTTCCCACTTTTTTACCTTTCATAAAAGTTCAAAAATAAGACAAACTAAGATAATGTGCAAGTAAACTGAAACGATAAGCATTTCCTGCTGTTACAGCAACAAATTCCTCACTTTTCTGCATCAAGGCTATTCTTAGACTTGCTGGGACCACATAAAGATCAAGTTACCTAAATCTTACAATAAAAAAACTTCAGAAATTAGCGTTGGTTGCTCACACAGACCACATCTCCCCTAATTTCTAAAGACATATGGACTCATGTTATCAATAAAATTATTCTTAAAATTTCCTACTTATTTGAAGGAAGAGAAGTATTACAGGGGAGCAACTTGTGTTACGTGCCAATTTGGCTTTGAAATTTTTCACTGAAACTTAAAAATCAATATGAAACAATAAATGTTCATCGTAAGAAACCTTAAACTATCATAAAATATCTGTTACTACAAAATCAATATATGCCAAAAGGAAAATAGAAAATACATGGAATTATAAACAATGAACTACATAAAAATAATAAAGACACCAAAAACTTTAATTTTCATTAGAAAATATTTAAGATATTTATTAGGGGGCTGGGAAGGTAGCTCAGTGGTAGAGTGCTTGCCTCGCATGCATGAGGCCCTGGGTTTGATTCCTCAGCACCACATAAGCAGAAGAAAAAAAGCCAGAAGTGGTGCTGTGGCTCAAGTGGTAGAGCGCTAGCCTTGAGCTGAAGAGCTGAGGAACAGCACCCAGACACAGAGTTCAGGCCCCACGATTGGCAAATATATATATATATTTGGTCTCAAAATTTTAATTTAACATCTCAATATTACAACAGATATTAATATTTGTCACAAGAGGCCACTTGAGAACAAGACTTAGAAAAGAATAAACATTTCAATAGCCACTTCAAGATTTGAAGGATACAAAGGCCTCAGATAGAATCCCATTCATTACCTGACAACAAAGCACCAAAGTCATGCCTATTTTAAAACATTTACTTGAGCTGGGAGTATTGGAAGAAAGGACTTGCCTATCATGTCTAGGACTCTAGGTTCAGTCCTCAGAACCACAAAAATAAGTACACAAATATATAAATATCTGTAAGGAACTTACTTGGTCAGGAAGTCTTATGTAGTGGTATGACTAGCTAAAAAGAGGAGAATGATATAATAAATGAGAGAACAGGAAAGAAGCTCTTGTGTGCAGAACTTAGGGGCACTATGTCTTTCTAATCCTTCAGTATGTTAAGTCCATACTAGAAGTCTCTAACTCTATAGAGCATTCTGGCTTGATAAAATCTGAAAGCCTTTGACGTCACAAAATACTCCCATTATTTTGGCCTACTACTTACCATTTCTTTCAAAGAGTCATACATTTGCTTCAGGAACTCCTGGAACTGGGACAGGTGAAAACAGGTGTCTTGTTGAGTTTCTAGAGTGGAGGAGGCCTGTTCCCACATAGAAAGCTTCTTCAGCCAAAATTGACATTCAGAAACAAGCACAGAATCTTGAGCCATCTTGGGAAACAGTGATGCCCTGTCATAGAGACCTGCCAAGCACTGAAGTAAATAATTAACACATCAAAACTCATGAAAAGGAACAAGACAGTTTATCAGTGTCTTCATGATCCACTAATCAGTGAAGAGGGTTTCCAAGAAACTAAAATAGTGAGCCTGGAGGCTGGAGTCATCTTTGAATCATTTTTTAAATGTGTCTCCCAGCTGTTAACCCTGATTTTTACCATCTGAATTTTTTATCATGAATAATATAATTAAAGTCGTTATACAGGCATATGCTAATTATGTACAAAAAGCACAGCTGATAATACTTTATATCTTCTTTTTTTAAGACTGAGCTATTTTTAAATGTTCTGAAGTTCCTTTGACTATTTTAATGTATTAAGAAATCAAAAACATCCTTGGGTGTTTAAAAATAGTTTGTGCTGAATAAATGTTTCTGGAGTTCTTATGTTTTATATGTGTATCTTGCTTCTCATTTAGGTGTAAAAAATTCTCAGTACTTAACTGTCTAATGAATTTTCTTCCCAGTTTTTCTCTTCATTTCTTAGAAAAAAATATGAAGTAATTCAGTCTACATGCATCAATTTAAACATCTGAGTAAAAATTGCTTTACATAATTGATGTTAATTCATTCATAAAAGCAGGCTATATTTTAGTAAAATGTAAGCATTTCTAATTATGAAGGAGTACTAGTCTTAAGAAATGGTAAAACAAAATTTCTTAAGCTTGACTTCCTACCCCTGAAGTCCATATTTTAAGCACAGTGGGGATCTGAAGGAAGCATGGGCCTCAGAGGGAGCAGTAAACTCTAGCCCCTTCCCTCCCAGTAAGATGCCCTCCCCCATCCTGTGGGAAGCTATAGAGCAGAGAAGGAAGGTCCCTTCTCAACAGGTGTAGGCCTTCATAGATTCCTGCCCTTCTCTGGAGAAAGAATGACATGCACCAATCTCATTTCTAGATGCTGTGCTGTGAGTGGTAAATGAACTGAGCAATAACTAACGGGTAAATTGCTCCTACTTAAATATCAAAAGTATGAACATAGGAAAAGAAAAGGAAATTTAAGAAGCCTGAACAGTTTGGCTGAAAAAAAAACCAACCTCTAGATTAAGAAGGTAAAGTTTCAAAGTAATATTCAATAACTTACAGTTTTGAAAAGGACTAGGTCAAAACAAAAACAGAAAAAGAAATTTAGTGCAATAAAATACATGCAGTTTGACACGAGGTGGTCCTTGTAAGTTCCCAGCCCTGACCTCCTCCCTTTCTTTCACTGTTCACCACATCCAAATCATCACCAATACTTGAAAAATTAATGCATGGGATCTGGCTGAATTGTATCACTGCTTCATTTCTTTCCCACCTCCTTGCTCATACCCATACCATCCCACCTCTTCTCACAAATGTCTTCTACCAGGTCTCATATACCTCTCTTTGGTCACCTCTAACAGACAAAAATCAGCTTGTACAAATGTACAAGCCAGTACACTTTCTCTCATAGCTTTTTTTTTTTTTAATCCAGTTGTTGTAGAAAGCCTCCCAACACCATGCTGGAGTCTCCCGGCCTTCTAACAGTGGCTCTGGTCTTCTTTAAGCCTTGTGCTTCTTGACAGCACACCAGTCAGCCCAGGCCTTCAAGAAATATTCCAGAAACACACCTAACTCTTCCCTGCTTCCAGGTTTTTCCCAGATTTTTGGGGGGCGGGGTCTGGTCGTGGGGCCTGAGCTCTGGGCCTGGGCGCAATCCCTCAGCTCTTCAGCTCAAGGCTAGCGTTCTACCACTTGAGCCACAGCACCACTTCTGGCTTTTTTTTCTTTTTACTTATGTGGTGCTGAGGAATCGAACCCAGGGCCTCATGCATGCAAGGCAAGTGCTCTACAACTGAGCCACCTTCCCAGCCCTCCCAGATTTCTTTACAGCCCTTCACAGTAGTGATTATCCTAGACATTGATTTGGTCACTTCGTTAACATTTCCTCTGCTACTGTGTATATTTCCTGTCTTCCTAGCACTTAGTACATGCCTGAACTAAATAAAAACTAACTGAAACAAAGGATGATTCTTCAGTATTTTTCAAAGTACTAAATGTCATAGAAAAATGCTTTTCCACATAAATCAATTTAATTTTTAAAAGATAACCCCATAAAGGAATTTCTAAAAGTATTTAAGTTACTATTTGGAATTGAACTATTATCCCATTTACAAATGAGTTTTTGTCAGTACTGAGGACTGAAATCAAGGGTCTCATGGTTGCCAAGCAAGTGTTCTACCACTTGATCCATACCTCCAGTCCCTTTTGCATTGTTATTTCCTAGGTGGTTCTTGCTATGCTAATCTGAGCTATAATTCTTCTACCTGTGCTTCCCTGTGTTACTGGGGATGATAGCACACACCACTCTGTCCAGCCATTTTGTTTCCTCCATAGCTGGTATAATAGCACACTATATTTGCACCTCATCATTGGTTGAGATAGAGTATCCCAAACTCTTTGCCCAGCTAGCTTTGAACCACAATCTCTTAGTCTCTGCATACTAAATAGCTACGATTACAGACTTGGGCCACCATATCCAAATACATTAATAACTTAGAGGTGAAATATTTTATACTAATCATTATACCAATGAAATGGTACTATATTTATTCTCATTTTATAGAAGTATTGGATTACAAAATTACCCCAAGTAAGATTATGTGATATGCTAAATGAAGTAATGCTTAGCAAATAGCAAAACCAAAACTGTGGTATTTTAATCCAAGGACTATCTCTAAAATCTGCTCCCTTAAAAAAGAGGAATAAAGTGAAGAGAACAATTGATGGATTTCTTTTTTTTTTTGGGGGGGGGGGGTCCGGTCGTGGGGCCTGAACTCTGGGGCCTGGGTGCTGTCCCTCAGCTCTTCAGCTCAAGGCTAGCACTCTACTACTTGAGCCACAGAGCTACTTCCGGCTTTTTTTTCTTCTTATGTGGTACTGAGGAATCGAACCCAGGGCCTCATGCCTGCAAGGCAAGCGCTCTACCACTGAGCCACCTTCCCAGCCCTATGGATTTCTTATATATTTAACACAGCACTAGAGGAAGATTTAGGGAAGGAAGGGACAGCATTTAGTGCCTTGAAGATAGAGATGCTGAACATAATATGGTGCACTGCAGAAGCAACCCATAAAGTAAAATTCCCATCATATAAAGGCCAGTGATAGCAACCCTGACCTAGACATAACACTATAGACTGTATATCAATAGATCTTTTCTGTACAGCATTCTTCCTCCCCATTTTTGAGGACCATTCCTTACTTTTCCCTAGAAGGTACCTTTCCTCTACTCTGCAAGGTCTTGGACGGCCTGTCTATCAAAGCACACTTGGATCAATGAGCCAACGGGTAAGCTGATGATTCAGGTTATGTAAATCAGACTCTGCTAGAAATCTGATCTTGAGTTAGGAAGGCATAAAGGATGTAACTCGTCATCCAAAAGTGCATGTTCGCTCACTTTTGCTTTCTCGCTCTTTGTGCTGGTATTGGGACTTGAACTCGGGCCTAAGCATTGCCCCTTAGCTTTTTCACTCAAGGCTGGCACTCTGCCACCTAAGCCACAGTTCTACTTCTAGCTCTTTGCTGGTTAACTGGAGAGAAGTCTCACAGCTTGGCCTGCCCCGCTGGCTTCGAACTGTGATCCTTGATCTCAGTCTACTAAGTAGCTGGGATTATAGGTGTAAGCCACCAGCACCTAGCCAAAAAGATCTCTTAATGTAGATCACTAAGATCTAACCTCATTCTTGTTCTGAAAAAGTTAAATTTTTTCCTCTCTCAACACTTTAAATATGTCACTCTACTCCCTTTGTGCCTACATAGTTTCTGGTAAGTCAGCTGTAATGCATCTCTTTGTTCTATTAGTAAAATGTTTTACCCCCTGGCCTCTTCCATGAGTTTTTCTTTACAACTTTACATCAATTGAAGTAGATATGCCTAGGTGTATTTTTCTTAATATTTATCCTTTCAGTGTTCGTGAAGCTTCCTGAATATGTGGTTCATTGTCTGATATTAATTTGGAAGATTCTCAATAATTACTGATTTGAATATTTCATCTTTCTTCTCCTTCTTGTAATCTCATATGTGTTAAACTTTGTGTAGCTGTCCCACCATATGCTGCTCTGACAGGCATGTTTTGTTTTGCTTTATTTTTTCTTCATCTTTGTTTTCTGATTTTCAATTCTGGAGATTTATAATTTAAAAAATCCTCAAGCCCTGAGATTCTTCCTTCAGCCATGTACCATCTATTAGGATCATGAAATACATTCTTCATTTCTGACATAATATTACTGATCTCTCCCCTTCTGTTCTATGTTAAGATTTCTATGTTAAAATTTCCATCTGTCTGCTTTCACTGTCTGTTTTTGCATGCTGCCTACTTTATCTATGAGAGACTTTGACTTAAATTCTCTTTCTGATAATTCCAACTTCACAACAAATCTATTCTGATGCTTACTCTTTCTCTCAAGTATGTCTTTATCACAAAGTATGCCTTATAAGTTTTTCTTGGAGCTGGATATAATCAGTAAAAGAAACTGCTTTACAAGCCTTTCGCAAAATGGTAGTAAATTGTAGGAGAGAAGTCTTTAAAAATCCTATTTTACCAGTGGGTAGCTATGGCCTGGATGATCCCAGATACTTGGTGTCTCCAACACACACACACACACACACACACACAAAGTAGCAAAGCAAGTTTAATAAAAAGTAGAAAGTACACCATTAAGGGAAATGGCAGGCTTGAACTCGATAGCTGAGGAGCAAACATGTGATTAAGAAAATTTCAGCTATTTAGGGTTTGGAGAGTGTGGGAGGAGTTCACAATAATAGTGGGCTGATCTTAGGGAAATAAGGAAATCATGGCTTGGCAAAGTTTTGAAAGGGACCTAAGCATATACTATGCCACCCATTGTTTTAAGTGTAAGTGAAAGATGCAAGCATTCGCATGGAGTCTTAAATGCGAGTTTGTCTAGGAAAGGTCAGGCTAAGGACTCATATAGTTCCACGGCACAGA